ACAGGAGGACCACTAGGAGTCCAAGAGAGCAGCAAGGCCCTGGGGAGGCTGAGACAGGAGGACCACTAGGAGTCCAAGAGAGCAGCAAGGCCCTGTCTTCGATTTTTTTTTTTTTTTTTTTTTTTGAGACAGGGACTAACTTGCCCAGGCTGGGCTCAGTCTTGTGATCCTCCTGTTTCAGCCTCCCGGAGTGCTAGGATGACAGGTGTGCACCACCATGCCTGGCCGTGCCCCGGCTTATACTTGACTGGACATCTGAGAAAATGTATTTGCCATTAGACAACTTCTTCCTTACTCATGCTGTGCACGTACAAACTGGGAAGGGATCATGTGTTTCAACATCCACATTTAAGATCCCCATATAAAGACGCCACCTCCAAAAGCCATGGCGGGGTTTTGGCTTCAACTCTAAGACGATTCTCTTTCCGTCCTAGGCAAGAATCTAACTCTGCCATCCAGCTCCTCAAGTCCCTGGCTGCTGCATACCTCAGAAAAGTCCAGGGCAAGTTCACGGCCACCACCAAGGTCTCCACCTCCCCGGGCCCTGGGGCTTCAGGGACACACACAGGCAGTGGGTCCCGCCCACGCTGCCTGGGGCTCTGCGGGGAAGAGACACCCAGGGGGCAGCAGTGGCACACCTGAAATCCCAGCTACCCGGGAGGCTGAAAGTTAGAGACCTGCAAGGCAATTTAGCTTTCTACTGGCTGCTTAAACTAGTGGCGCCATGTATTACTCAATTACAGCATAGCTGTCCTCCACCGTAACTAACAGCATCTTCTGCTAACGTCAACAATGTCCCGGTGCACCTCCCCGTCTGCTGTCAGCCTCACATTTTGCAGCTTGTGCATCTGTGAATTCACCCACTCGCCACAGCTTACCTGTTCACTTGTAGCCTTAAAGCGATTGTTGTGGGACCAGACTACCCTGCTGCAGGCTGCAAGGGATGGCAGCTGTTGTGCATTTTCCCAGAAGTGCCTCCAGGGGGCAACATTTGCTAACCCACGGCCGCCCATTGCTTTCTGGCAGGCGGAGGAGGAGGGGTAGGGAGAGAGGAAGAGGGGCGAGCAGTCAGTGGGCCAACGACGTACCTGAAATGGAGCCCAGCAGCACGTTGCTCTTGACGCACTTGTACACGTACTCATAGCTCTGAGCTTTCAGGGGGGATCCAGTGGACAGGATGGTGTGCAGCGTCTGCAGGCTGTGGGTCTCCGCTGTGGAGCACGAGCCCCGGGGTCAGGCACCCACGGCACTGCTCCAGGACCAGCCGTGTGGGGATAGGGACCATGCATGCCCTCACCTGGCTTCAGGTCTTTCTCCTCCAGCACAGACAGCCACTTGGCCCCGGTTCCCAGCACTGTGATGCTAGGGTCAGATGGGGAGGAAAGCAGAGGCCCTCAACCCCGGCTGTGCCCCCCAGTGGCCTATGGGGCCCGAGCACATCCCCTGTTTGGTCTGGGCTTCACCCCAGTCCCTGAGCACTGGGACCCACCCTGCAGCACCAGCTAGCACGTCCCACAGCAAGGCGCTTCCTAAGCACGGAGCAGGGTGTCAGGGCCTACCCGATCCTGTCCACCAGGTCCCACAGCACGTTGGGCGTGGGCACCAGCGGGGAGCCGTCATACAGGACCAGGGATGCGCCGGTGGCCAGCGCAGACACCATCCAGTTCCACATCATCCAGCCGACCTGCATGGGACAAGGAGCCAGCTTTGTGAGGGTCCGGGCAAGGTCCCCTGAACACTGCCCCACAGCACCAAAAGGCAACCGAGTCACCGGGCCCGTGCACCCACAGCCCAGCAATTCCCCACCCACGCTGGACACAAACACAGGAGAGGAGACACAGTGAGGTCTGCTGCAGCCTTGCTGGTGACAATGACCAGAGGCCCAGGAGACCAAGGCCCGGGTGACATGGGGGCAACCACACAGGTGCATGCCACTGCTGGGGACCCAGCCCACCCTCAGCACACTGGGCACTCTGCCAGGTTTAAGCGTTGACCCCTAACAGGGAGGGGAAGGCCTTCCTGAGCCTTTGGTCCAGTGAAGATGCCACCAAGGCCAGGGACACTACAGCCACCACACTCCTCCTCCACCCTCCTGTTCCACCCTCCTCCTCCAGCTTTCCTCCAGGCCAAGATGGCATCATGGTGGCTCTGTAGGAAGACCCCCACCCCAGCCTGCAGGTGACACCCAGGAAGGCAAACCTCTCAAGAACCACGGCCCTGGAGTGCCTCATACACAGCCCTGTCCTCCTAAACAGAGCCATGTCGCTTCCACCAGGGCCCTGCAGAGCTGCTGAGGGCTCTGCAAGTCTGAGACTCCCCAGCAGCATCCTTATGGTACTGGGCTCCCCATCTGCCCCACAAGGACAGCAAGTGCTGGCATTCCACGCATGAAGCTGCTCCCGTGGCCCAGCATGAGGAACCCACCCATGGGGTGAGAGCCCATGCTGAGGGACCTGCACCCACAGTGACCCCTCCAGTGTCTGCGTGGGGTCAGGGGTCACAAGGACCCAAGGGACCCCTGATGCCAAGCTCATGGGCAGGAACCTGCCTCTAGCACTATTTCCTTAAAATCTTGGTACAGAGCTGCAACCCAGAGGAAGGAGCTGGACCATTCTGGAGCCTCCAGCTATCTGCAGACTTAGCAAGAGCTGTCAGGTCCAAGCGTGGAGGTGTAGCCAAGCATGGGAGCGCAGCCGAGCACCGGGGTGCATGCCTGTGACCCAGCACTAGGAGTCTGAGGCAGGAGGATCGCCAGCCTGGGCAGCCGGACAGTGAGACTACTCCCATCACCCCTGCCCCAGGCCTCCCCCGACTCCCCACCCCAAGCTCAGAGGCATAAATGACACACACCGCAGCACCTGTGCACACAGGAGCCGGACCTCCACGCAGGCCGAGCCACAGGCACCTTACCGTGGTGTAGTACAGCAGGACGTCGCTGCAGGTCATGTTCCCGTGTAGCATGTGCTCCTTCAGGTGCTGCAGGAGGGTGCCCTGGGGGCAGTGGGGCCAGTCAGCGGCTGCCAGCAAGGCTGCCCACCTCCCTGGTCACTGCCCTGACACTTGAGGGTGCCGACCACCTGGAGCCATTACCTCCCCCACCCCAAGGCCTGCCTGCCCCGGGGACCCAGGGCCACTAGCACTGATGAGATGGTGAAGCTGAGGTAGGCGTGTCCACTGGAGGCCAGGGACAAGCAAGAGGAGCTCGGGGGACTGCCTTCTGATGAGACACCTCTCACCCACCCTCCTTACACTTTCTACTTCTGTGCTTGTTTGCTTGCTTTTTTGCTTGTTTTGAGACAGGGTTTTACTCTGCAGCCCAGGCTGGCCTCAAATTCACAGCAATCCTTCTGCCTCAGCCTCCATCACTGGGATCACAGGCATGCACCCCATGCCCAGCTATGTGAGGCAACCGTGGAAGAAGCATGGACATGCACAGCATCACCAGGGGTACCAAGGTCTGCTGTGTCCCCTCCAAGACTCCCTGAGAAACCCTGAAGTCAAAGGTCACAGATGCTGGGGTGAGGCCTTGGCTGAAGACCAGCTGGGATTACACAGGGGGCACCATGACCACACAGCACTCGTGGCTTTGTGAGAGACCCCTATGCCCACCTGGGCCTCTGCGGGGTCCACAGCAGCAAGATGCCCCCCACCCTCCCTCAGCCTAGGCCTGCACCCTGCAGAACAATGATGGGGGCAGCCTTTGCTTCTCCACTACCCAATGCCTGGCACCCAGGACGGGCTGAGACAGGGTTCCCGTGAGGCCACTGAGGTCATGGCCAGCCCTGTAACACCCAGATCTTAAGACTTCAGCCTCGAGCTGAGCAAACAGCTCTGGCCCATGAGCCCTGACCCATGCCAGCTCTGAATGAGGTGGTGGCTTCACCTGCTAGGCTGTTCCCCAGCCCTGCACATAGCTGAGAACACGTGAGACGGGGGCTTCTCAGGACACCCACACCTCCCCTGCTCGCCGAGGGCCTCTGTTCCCGCCTCTCCAGTGACAGCCAGTTTCACACAGGCTGCCAGCCGCCACCCCGGGCCTGGCCCTGAGCGCCCACAGTCTGTGGAGTGAAGGCCCCGCCTCCCCTGGCCCTGCTGCCCACACAGAGCTCGCGCAGTGACTGCAAGCCGAGTGACCACGGGAGTCACCGCAGCAGAGGATCTGCCACAGCTGCACACGGGGGTCTGCGGGAACAGTGACATTGATGCTGCTGGGCCAGCTGGGAAGGGCTGGCAGGGGAAGGGGGCGCGACCTACCCCCGCGGAGTGCACCATGCACTTGGGTGCCCCGGTGGTGCCCGAGGAGAACATGATGAAGAGCGGGTGGCTGAAAGGCAGCTGCTCGAACTCCAGCTGCGGGGGCTGCTCGCCGCTGCCGCTGTCCAGGAAGTCATCCAGCAACACACTGCGGGCAGAGACAGGGGCGCCGTGAGGACCGGGCTGCTCCAGCCCTCCACTGCACCGCGGGAAGGGTCGGCTTCCAGGGCCTTCCTGGACTTGGCCTGAAGGCTTTCGGGCAGCAATGGCAAACCTTTCGGAGCACTCAGTGAGCCAATCCGCCCACTGTGCCACAGGTTCGCCACCTCTGCTTTAGGGGAAGAGGTAAATCTAACCTTATGAGTTCTAAGTGAAGAGAAAGCAACAGAGGAAGAAAAGATTTCATATCGGTTGTGCATTTGTTTGAGACAGACAGGACCTCACTGTGTAGTTCACGCTGGCCTCAGACTCTTGGAGATCCTCTTGCCTCAGCCTTCCCGATTGCTAGGAACACAGGCGGCCCGCCAGCCTGGCTGGCTAAGGTCGTTTCTCAGTGCCCTGGGCTGTCTGCTGTCTCTTTAGAGACCTTTGCTGCCTTCGTGGACACCAGGGAGCTCCCAATTAACACCGCATGCAAACTCAGGCAGCTGCACTCATTCCCGTTTCCTGTGATCGCCCTACTGCAGCGCTTGGCTCCAGCGACAGCCCCGGGGAGCGGGCGCCAGGGGAGGCCTAGTTAGAAGCCCTTCCCTTGCAGCACAGGTGGCCACCAAGCTGGGACCACGGTGCCCAGGGCAGACGGTCGAGGGCTCATTTACCATACCCTGGGGATGACAACGTGCACCAGTCCAAACCCCAGGAACATGCTTGTAATCCTTGCACTCCCAGCACCTGGGAGGCTGAGGCAGGAGGATCCTTGCAACTTCCAGACCAGCCTGGGCTACAAAGCGAGCTCAAGGCCAGCGTGAGCTGTGTCTTGAGACCCTGTCACAAAAAAACAAAAATCAAAACTAAACTCCACCCCAGCAAGTGGCATGTGCCTGTAATCCCAGCCCTAGGGAGGCTAAGGAGGGGGATCACAAAAGATTTTAAGAGTTCAAAGCCAGCCTAATCTACATAGAAAGTTCAAAACCAATTTAAACTACACAGTGAGATCCTATCTCGGAATAAAAAAAAAAAAAAAAACCCAACCCCCCCCCCACAAATACCTGTCCAACTGTGAGTATGGTCAATCTGTGCTACTGACTCTGACTATGAAGCCTGCCAGCCTGCTCCCCAAAGCTGGCCAACAGAAACCACTGGAAGGGGTGGCTGGGAGCCACCAGCGGCGATGCCTGGGGTAAGGTCACAAAACCACCCTGGGAAGGCGGGCCCCACCTGCTCCTGACACCTGGGACCTTTTCCTTTCCAGGACGGTAACAGAACCCAACTCACAAAGGACAATCGTCTATAAGTCAGTAATGAAGGCTTCTGTTGCCCTTCTAAACGCACAATGCCCGGGGGGTGCGATGCGCTCCAGGACAGCAGCCCAGGGCCCAGTTGATCCTTGGCAGAGCCCAAAGGGTGACATGGACGGGCACTGGGCGGGGCATCGTGGGGAGTGAAAGACCCATGCCTGGCTGCCGTGTGCTCGAGCAGGACAAGCTCATTTCAACATGCCGCCGCCGGGCACGGTGGTGCTGGCGAAGTCCGGCGGGCTGCCCTCCCACCACGCTGCCCCTCAGTGACCCAGGGAGCCAGAGCTGAGGTCCTCGAGCTAAGATCAGGGCTGGCCTGGCTGTGGTCGGGAGAGGCTGTCAGGGGTCCACAGCTCCACACTCCCCAGATGGAGCCCACAGCAGTCCCCAAGGGTGGACGGAGCGCCCCAGAGCCACACTGGCAGCATCTACCCTGCAGCAGCCTCCGTGGAGAGGACGTCCTCACTGTGCGGACAGAGAACCCGTGACACAGAGAAGCCAGACACGGGCGCAGGCACACCCAGCCGAGATCCAAGCCCACGAGTGACCTAATGGGACGGGGCGGGAGCTCCACACCCGCAGGGTTGGCAGCAGCAGCTGCACGGATCGGGCTGCCTGGCAGCCTCCTCGCTGGCTGCAACAAAGACCGGGCCTCCCAAGTAGCCTGGCCTGTGCTGGAGACCCAGGGAGGGGACAGGACAACGCTCCTCCACTAGGCCTGTCCCAGGGCTGTGTCCTGAGAGGGGAGGAGAGGAACCCCAAGCACCTTAGGCCAAGCCACACCCACACCCGGCTAGTGCAAACCTCTGACACACTCACACTCACACTTCCGCTGGCGGCAGGTTTACAGATGTCAGAAAGCACACGAAGGGATCCTTAGCAACAGGCAGCAGACACAGGCTCTAAAGGGAGAATCTGCAAGCGGCCTCCCTCCAGGCCCTGGGGACAGTTCCAGAAGCCCGCGGGCACCAAGCCAGCAGCCAGCCTGGTCCCTTACAGGAAATGGCAGTGAGCAGTGCCAGCGTGGGGTGCGCTGCACGCCCGACGCACCAGCACTCAGGAGGCTGCAGTAGGAGGATCACCACGAGTCTGAGGCCAGCCTCAACTCCACAGTCCGTTTGTGACCAGCCTAAACTACACAGTGTGACCCTGTCTCAAAACAAAACAAACCAAAAAACGGGTTTTCGCTAAGCCCACCACCCTTCTCAACCACTGCAGTCAAGTCCACTTGGAGACCTCGAAGGCCAACTTCCCAAAGGGATGGAGCTGAGGTCACCTGGCCCGAGTGTCAGAAAGCAGCAGTCACCTGTTGGGGATCGTGGCAAGGTCTATCTCGTCCTTGGAGGTGATGTACGGGATTACCACCACCTTCCTCAGATCCGGGAGCCCTGAGAAGACAGGAGAACACGCAAGGTCACGGCCGAGACTCTGCCACTGCATCTTCCAATAAATGTCACAGCCAGGCCCTCTGCTGCAGCTCTCTCTTCTGCACACCCATGAGCACACACGCACACAGGCATGTCTACACACACACACACACACACACACGCACGCACGCACCTTTCACCACCTGCTGCAGCTTCTCCATGTGGCCGTGCTCCTTGCCATTGTAGATGACGGCCTCCACAGAGAAGATGAGCTTCGGCTGTATCTGCGAGAAGCGGTCCAGGACGCCCTGGGTGGAGGACACGGGGCCGAGGGTCACACAGAAGGAAGCCAGGGCCAAGCCAGCCCACAGCACAAAGCGGGCACACAACCAACCCAGCCAACCCAGGAACAGGGGGGCCACAGCCTGCATCTCAGACACGACCCGCCCCGCGCCAGCTCTGCGGGCACACCCAAGGGAGCTGTACGAGCAGATAGCCGGACTCCTGCAGAGACCCCAGTAGGCCTCCTCACAGCAGCTCCACTGCCGCGCAGCCGCTGCTCAGCCCCCGACCTTCAGCTGAAGAAGAATCCGACCCCTCCAGGCCTGACTGTGCCAACCACCCACCCACCACACACACACACACCTGCCATGTACACACACACCTGCACCAGTGTGCTGCCCCAGATAGGTGTGCTCTGCACGCTGTGTGTGTCCCTCCTCACCACCACCTCCCTGCAGGGGCCAGGGCTGCGTCCAGCCTGGTATGATGGAGCCTCGACTCCCCCACACTCCAACTCCAGGGCCACAAGGCAAAGCACACTGGGCAGTTCCAACCCCACCGCCACCCACACCACTCACAGGGCAGGAAGTGCCATGGGTCACTCTGCTGTCCCCATCCCAATAGGGGTCCTCAGAGAGGCTCAAGATCGGGCCACCCAGGCTGCTCCAGAGCTCGGGGTGGCTCCAGGTGACAGTGCAGGTCAGCGCCATCCGCAGAGGGACAGTCTGGCTAATGCAGCTGGTCACAATGACTGACCCATAGGCCGGCAGGGGCCAGGTTTTATTTACAAAACTGCCCAGGTGATGCCAGCAGGGAAGGAGCTGCCAACTAGGCAGGACAGGAGGGTGTACAAAGTGAGAACCCTTCACCCACCCCATCCCCGTCACCCACATCGGCTCCTGTTAGCTTGTATTCAGAGGTCCCCTGAGGCCCTCTGTGCTCCAAAGTGGGACTTCCAGGAGGGGACCGGATTGTGGGGATGCTGTGGCCTGCTTGGCGTTAAGAGGCAGGGCCTGGTCCCAAGCGGCGGCACTGCAGTCCTGAGCCTGAACGGGCACCTCCTCCATGCTGCGCCCCTTGATGCTTCCTGCCACCGCAGGGTGAGCAGGGCTCCTGGGCCAGGCCCCTCCGCTGGGCCAACACAACCTTGACCCCTCTAAACTATGGACTGGCGCCATGTCTCAGCAAGCGGAGTGGCTGAGGCCCAGGTCAGACCTGCTCGGCCCGGCCTCGTGGGTGTGGAGGCCCAAGGCCAGACTTCACGTTCCAGACCAGACGCCGCATTAACAGAAGAGGAGCTGGAAGAGGAGAGAGCTGGATGCCCTGTCTTTTCCACCACTGCACACCGCTCTCCGTGACACAGTCAACAGGAGAAACGCAGTCGGCACCACAGCCTGCCAGGCCCAATCGCTTGCACTGGGATGCTCACAATGCCGCTGGGCACAGCGGCGCACGCCTGTCATGCAAGCACTCAGGAGACTGAGGCAGAAGGGTCACTGCGAGCTCGAGACCAGCCTGAACTAGATAGTAAGTTCAAGGCCAGCCTGAACTACAGAGTGAGACCTTGTTTTAAAAAAGCGAAGAGAAGAAAAATAAAATAAAATAAAATAAAATAAGACAGAAGCCTGTAATCCTGGCATAAGGGAGACTGAGGCAGGAGAATCCCCATGAGTTTGAGGTCTGTCTGGGCTACACAGAGTTCAGGACAAGCCGGAACTACACAGTGAGACCTTGTCTCAAAAAAAATCAGAAAAGGCGAATTCCAAAGATGCTGCCCAAAGGAAAAAGTGGTTCTGGAAAGTGGGGAAAGGGGGAGCAGCCTCAGGGAGTGACAGTGCCGACAAGAGGCTCCGGGCCCCAAAGGGGGTGGAAAGGCAGTAAAGGTCCGACACATTGTGTGTGAAAAACACAGCAAGATTATGGAAGCCTTGGAAAAGTTAACGAGTCAGTGACGTGGCCGCACAGTAGTGAACATTGAGCCAGGCAAGGGGGTGACTTGGGCTGGGCGACCAGAGGCTCCAAGGTAGCACCATTTCAAGAAGCGGCATTTGCCTTGCCTGTGAATGGAGTGGATAAGCCCGTGTGTACAGACCCACCAATATCATATTATTATGGTTGAAAGAAGAAAATAAAATTATGTGAAAGATAAAAAAAATCAGAAAAAAACAAAACGTTCACTACTTGGCCAGAAAAGGAGGAGAAAGGGAGGAATTACAGCCACGGGGAAAATGAATGATAGATTTAATCAGTGACGCCAACAGTTTCTCTCAAAAAGCTCAGTAAAATAATTGGAAGGGTCCATAGGGTGTTCAGGGTCTCCCTACTAGATCGGACTCTAGTGATCCGCCTGTTTACAGCCTCCCAAGAGCTGGGATCACAGGGGCGCACCACCACGCCCGGTCTCAACTGCGGTCTCAACGCACCCCAGAGGTAGGGCTGGCGCGCCAGGCCCAGGGATTGGACTCCCAGCCCCCGCGCCTGCTTGCAGGTGCTTTCATCTGCTGAGCTAGGTGGCCAGCCCTTAAAATAAGCTTCTTGACAACCCTGATTGAGAGGAAAGACAATACTTCTCTTAATCGTTAGTGCCTGCCAGGGGATGGGGACATAGCTCAGCGCAAAAGCCTGGGTTCAGTCCCCAGTGCCACAGAGAGGGGAGGGGAGGGGAGGCGGGGGAGAGGAAGGGAGGGGCAAACATTCTTCTGCTGGAAGCCGCGGCAGGTGCCTTTGCAGTTGGCCACCTGATACGACCCTGCGGCTGCAACCCAAGGAGGACAGGGATCCGGAGCCAGGGGAAGCAGGTGCTGAGGTGCCTGGGCTACAGATGGGCAGCAGCAGGAGGACCCAGGGCAGGGGACATGCAGGGGACAGTTCCAGGCAGGGGCACCACCATGAGCCAAGACAGAAAGGGACAGGGCTGCTGCAAGGCCTGAGCCAGCTAGGTTCGGGAAGGGCCAGAGCCACCCACAGACACGAGGTTTCCATGCCGAGCCTGGAACTCTAGGACTCCCACATGTCCAGCAACTGCTGCAGGCCCGGCCGGCCCTGGGCAAGGCTCAGGCTTGCATGTCTGGACAGGTGGGGTCTACAGCATCTCTTGGGCTGGGACCACTGAGAACTTTTGGGTGGCAACACATGGATGCCGCTGTGTCAGGTCTGCCCCGCCTCGACTGGGAGCTGGGCGCCCAGGTAAGGGCTGCGCCCAGCAGCGACAGCGAGGGCTGATCCTGTGACTGCCAGCCCACCTCTCGGCACAAAGGCTGCCTGAGAGTAGAGGTGTGGCCTCATGTGGACAGAAGGCAGCTTCCCCAGCACCTTTGAGACAGCATCCACCTCACCCTAAGCAGCACCAAAGAAAAGCCCAAGGTCAGAAACCACACAGCTGAGGTCTCCAGGCAACCAGAAGCTGGGGCCCCAGCAGAGCTCAGCCACAGACCCGCAGGTCACCCATGAGAGAGCAGGGGCTCTGCCGCAGAGACCGGGGCAGAGGACATGAAACAGCCCGCAGGGGCTCATAGCCAGCACACAGCAGGGAAGCACCCAACATCTTTGCAGGGACACTGGTGCCCAGCTCGCCATGGCTACCATGGACCAGAAAAGCCCCAAGGTCACCTGGCCAGGTGGCCCTGTCCACTAGGCATGCCCCCCACCCCAGGAAGCCTCAGACCCAAAACTCCCTTCAGATACCCCAAGACAAAGCAGGGTGTCCAGGCAAGGAAGCTGTCCCTGAATAAGAGCAGGAAAGAGACCCAGGGTCCTGCAGGGCCATGCAGCGTGGGCGCAGCCGCTCTCCCTCGGGCATTCACACTGGGAAACAGAGGAAATCCGCAGCCTCAAGGCCAGCCCCAGAAGGTCCTGGCTGGCTCTGGCACGAGTGGGGACAGCAGGGCAGGCAAGGTGTGACTGGCTAGCAGCAGCCACTCGGGAGCCCTGATCCGTCCCAGCTCGTGAACAGCCTGGGTGTTCCAGGGTACGTGGCCAAGGGGCCAGAAGAATGCTTTTCGAGAACCAGAACTGAGGATGCGGAGCACAGGGCTGGCTGCTACCTGGAGCCAGAGCCGCAGTGGGCAGGAGCTGCTGTGGCAGGCCCCAGACCAGACGGCGCCAGGCAGGAACTGACCCAAGAGGACGCTGGCCATAGGACACTCTGGGCCCGTCCTCAGAGATGTGCAGAACCTACCGGGCGGGAGCCCAGAGGTCTGCCAGGTGCTGCTGCACAGGTAGGCCAGGGGGTGCTGACAGACCTCAGCTTCTGGGCCCCACCCTCCTCACCAAGGCCAGGCCCCACAGAGGCCAGCCAGCTCCAGGGCTCCCTCAGCCTGGCCTCCAGTCGGGGTCAGCACTACCGGGCTGCCACTGGTGCCAACACAGGTGGCTTCCGGTTCTCAGAGGGTAAAAAGCTCCAAAGAATTCAAATGCATCCAGCTCCCAGGTCCCCAGCTTTACACACTGTGATTCGCATCAGAGCCCCGAACCCACAGCGCTGACCCCAATCAACACCTGTAGGGAGCAGGGCCAGCCCAGCCTATGGCCACAGACCCCTGGGAGGTGGGCCCTGGGCAGCCCTTCACTCCACCAGGCCTTTGGCCATGTCCTTTGCATAGGGTCAGGAAGGCGAAGCCACCTTACAGCCTTTAGCAAGCACACCTACAATCTTAGTACTGGGGGAGGCTGAGGCAGGAGGATCCCAAGTTCAAGCCCAGGGTGGGTGATTTAGCAACCTAATATGACTTTCTCTTAAAATAAAAAATAAAAAGCTGAAAACAGCTCCCTGCAAAGGCCCTGGTTCAATCCCCACACTGCAAAAAGGAAAAGGACAAACTGTGTTCCCCAAGAGCCAGTCTCCAAGCAGCGCAGCTCCTGCGCTCACTCCCAGAGCCCAGGGACACCAGGGCCAGGGTCCTCCCACTGTGCTCTGACAGCACCAGCAGCATTGGGGGCCACCTGTAGGTCCCTGGGCACCATCCCAGCTCTGAGTGCTCACTGTGTATAAACTCTCACTCCTGTCCTGTCCCTGACTGCTGTCCCCAGGTCACAGATGGAGGAGGGTAGGGGGTGGCACAGACAGCCCAGCGGGGCAACCCTGACTGACACACAGCACTAGGCCAGACTCAGAAGCCAGCAGGAAAGGCGGGTCAGGGCCCTGTGGGGCCCTGGAGCCTACCTCCCCACCTGGCTGAGGGAAGGAGGCAAGGGAGGCCGATCCTGCTGCTGCCTGGCGCATCTCATGGGGAGCCACGTGGCCCAGCGAGGCAAATGGATCACCTAGAGCTCACACCCAGCAGGGCGGCCTGTGGTGCCCCAAAGTCACAGATGACACAACTCCACAATCCATTCACACACGAGCCCTGAGCAGTGCTGCCAGCCACACTCAGTGCCACCAAGGCCACCGATGCACCGTGGACTCACACAGCTGTGAAGAGGAAGAGGAGGGCTCTTCCCAAACCTCCCACAGGGCCCCGGGGGTAACGAGCAGCACCCACAGAATAGGGAGGACCTCTCGTGGGCTCCTTGCCCGAGGGCGAGGTGGCTGAGAGCTTGGTGGGGACCGCCACACAGCTCCCCCTGGGAGCCAGGCCACCACCGCCGGGGCCCCACGGCCCTGTGGCCCTGACTCACGTTCACGCCGAAGTCCGGCGATGTGGAGCTCCAGATGGCGCCGATGCTCGCTGTGGCCAGCATGGCCTCCACCGCGTGTGCGCTGTTGGGCAGGTAGCCTGCCGGGTGCAGGGAGGAAGCCGTGAGGTCAGGTAAAGGAGGCAGCAGACCCAGGATCCGGCACCACCCCTCTGCCTGACTGCTCCTCAGCCAGGGCAGCCCCACGGCTCTCCCAGGGACGCTCACCGACCACGCGGTCTCCCTTGCGCACACCCATCTTCCGCATGGCGGTGGCGAACAAAGCCACCTGCTGTCGCAGCTCTCCAAAAGTAACCTTCTCGATCTCATCTTTGCCTTCCCCTGGGAAGAGGGAAAAGACAACTGTGCTCTGGCCATCCTACAAGGACAGGGGCCATGACACGGGCTCAGAGTGAGAGAGCTCGCCAGTATCACAGAGGTCATCAGCCTGTGACCAAGAAAGCCCTGCAGACCCAGGTGGGGAGCAGAAGTCGGGACACAGGTGACCAGATGCCAGGGGCGGCAGGGAGGGGCAGCAGCAGGCACCTCCAGGGCCTACATGTGGCACAGACGGCTGCTGAGTGCCTTTCCACCACAGGCTGAGTGGTGATATTTGAAGTCATCACAGAAGGACCGGAGGACGCAAGGCCCCACCCTGCCCCAGCAATGACACCTGACATCCAAACAGCACCGGAGGAACCCAGGAAACCCACACAGCCACTGTGGTCCCTCAGGTGCCCCCCACCTGCAGGTCCCCATCATGGCCACACCGCAAGTGACACCCTGACCAGCGACAGCGCCATTTCGTTCATCTGCCCAAGGTTATTGGTTCGGAGCAGTTCTGCGGCTGGGCCTGGGGACGCGCCTGTAAGCTCAGTCGGGGCCTGAAGCATCTTCTCCCCAAAGCAAATGCACACCCCCATCTCCCTGTGGCACAAAGCTGGCCTCTGCTATGTACCCCCTCACGCTCTCAGACAGGTAATTTTCTCTCCTCTCCAGGGCTGGCAACCTGAATCCATTCTTGAAAGACAACTGAAGGCCAGGGAGATAGCTCAATAGTACAGTGCCTGCCTGGCAAGCATAAGGTCCTGAGTTCAATTCCTGGTACCAAAAAAGAAAAGACAATCGCGCTGTGATTCCCAGCATGTGCACACTGCAGCTGCTGTGTCAAGGCCAACCGCAAATGCACGGTGGGAAGAGGTGGCGGGCTGAGCCCTGTGCAGGCGCTGGGACAGCCTGCGTGACCCCCGGCCCATGAGGGAGTTGTGCACACTCAGCCAGGTGTGCAGAAGGCCGAACACTGGCCAGCTTGGGCCTCACAAGCAAGACATCTGCGTCGGGGCTGTGACACAGCTTCTGTCCAGAGGTCCCCCAAAGCCTCACATGCTCGTAGCTCAAAGGGGGCTGGAGACCACGGGGCTCCACATTCACAAGTGGACTAGTCCATGATGAGTTTACAGCTGGCCGCGATGCCAGCCTGCTCAGAGGAGGTGGGTCCCTAGAGCGTGGCCTGGAAGGGTCTGTGTCCCCACCCTCAATCTCGCTGATTCCTGTCTGCCCTGCTGCGGACTGTTCCCTGCGTGGCTGGCCTGGAAGCTCTGCACACAGAGCTAATGGTCCTCCCCTCCCTGTGCGGTAGTTCATGGTATTTCATCCCAGCAACACAAGTGTTCAATCAGGCCGGGGTGCAGATCCGCCTGACAGCCCCTGTGTGGCACTTGCACAGCCTGGGGTTCTATTCCCACCACGGTGCCCGCACAGATGTATGATTCGGGGCTGGGGGTGTGTCCGTGGTAGAGTGCCCCGTCCTAGCATGTGCAGACCCTAAGGGTCTCCCCCATCTCCAAAAAGGAAAAGTAAGATCTGCCTCATAAACAAAATGTGATCTCCAAGTGAAGTACAAACACAACAAAGGGGGTGCTCATTAGCTAAAGGGTGCCAGTCAGGGTGTGGGGGCGCACACCTGCGATCCCTGAATCAGGAGGCTGAGGCAGGATTCCAAGTTCAAGCCCAATGACCACTTAATAACTTAGCAAGACTCTTTCTAAAAATTAAAATTAAAAAGAGTTGGGGGTGCAGTTCCCTGTGACAGGAGCCCCAGCATCAGTGGGTAGCCCCAATTCCAGTCTCGGCCCCGTCACTGGTCTCCTGGTGTCCCAAGCTCGTCACTCAGTATCAGTGTCAGCATCACCTTTTTCCCTACGAAGGCCACTCATCCGGCCCTCGCCTCCCTGGTGAAAACAGAGTCCACCGCTGACACAGCAGTCAGGACGCCTCAGGGAAGGCTACCCTCAGGAACGCAAGTCATGCAGGACTCACTTGTGACATACAGGGCCACCTTGTCGTTCTCTTTGTGCCGCAGTAGGTTCTCTGCGTAGTTCAGCCGGCTGCCTTTGAACCACTCAGGGACGTCTGCGATGCCTTTGGAAGTGTCCACCACCTGCGGGGCAGACAGCACAGAAGGCACCTGCATGAAGAGCAGCAGCCCCGCCTCAGGGAGCCTCTTGCTGCCCTCAGCCCATGAACAGGCTTTAGAGCCCAGCCGCGGGCCGCCTATCGGCCAACACCGAGCACCATGAGCAACCCTGCCCAGGAGTGTGCTTTTCTTTTGGTACCAGAAATCAAACTCACAACCTTGGGCTTGCCAGGCAGGCGCTGTGCCACTGAGCTACACCCAGGACGGGGTCTACAGGGTCTACAGGGTCTCACTGCATAGACTGGTAGTGATCCGCCTGTTTACAGCCTCCCAAGTGCTGGGATTACAGGTGAGTACCACCATGCCCAGTCTCAATCGCACCCTGGCACCAGGGCCAGCACAGCAGACCTGGGAATCGAACTCTGGGCCCCTGAATCTGCCTAAGCAGGCACTTTAATCCACTGAGCTATTTGGCCAGCCAAGCTGCTCACCTTAAAGATAAGATTTTAAATGTATATACTTGACTGCAATTAAATTTTTTTATTTAACAAAAAGGAAGAGAACCCTGCCGGGTGCACTGGCGCACACCTGTAATCCCAGCACTCAGGAAGCTGAGGCAGGACAATCGCTACAAGTTCAAGACCAGCCTGGGCTACAAGGTGAGTACAAGGCCAACCTGAGCTTCATAACGAGACCCTGTCTCAAAAAGCAAAAAAAAAAAAGGAAAGAGTACCCCAATACCCCCCAGCTCAGGACCCAGGGCAGGGCCTGCTCCCCCCCCCACACACACCCCCGGGGCTGTGTGATGGACACCTGTGGCTGGTGGGGTCCAGGGCCCTGCTAACTTCAGGCCAGGTGTCAGGACGAGGGATTTTCCCACCTGTAAGAGGCTGTAAAAGAAGATGGGTTCCAGGGCACCCCAAGACTCACACAGCACTGAGACTCAGCCACACGCAGCTGGTCAGCAGCCTCCACTCACCTCATCATACATGCGTGAGAAGACGAGGCCACTGAATCTCCAGAACTCGGCCCAGAAGTCTGCATAGGACGCCACTGACCAGTGGTATAGGTCGTTGTAGTTCTCTAAAAACAAAGGAAGCCATTCTGGCTGAAACAAGGCTCGGCGTGAGGTTCCCTCCGGCCTCGATCCAAGCCAGGTGGTGCTGCAAGCCTGCAATCCAGAACTCTGGGAGGCTGAGGCAGGAGGGTCACAAATTGGAGTGTAGCCCTTAGGGACACAGTGAAACCCCGTCTTGAAATAAAAAATAAAAGAGGGAAGGCTCTGGGTCCCTGGATTCAGTCCCACAAAGACAGGGAGGGAGGCGCTGGGGAGAGAACTCAGCGGTCTAAACACCTGACTGGCAAGTGCAAGGACCTGGTTCTTTCCCCAGGATCGCATGCTGTGCGGACCTTGTGCTGTGCCAGCCACCAAAAGTACCAAATAAATATATAACTTTTTCTTTTTTTTTTCCCCAACAGAACTAGGGGTTGAACTCAGGCCCTTGCGCTTGCCAGGGAAGCGCTTATTCTACTGAGCCATCTCCCCACTCTAATAAATCTTCTAAAAAAAAAAGACAGGGAGGGAGGAATGGATGAACGGATATATGGAGGGATGGACGGATGGATGGATGGACGGACGGACAGACGGCAGACAGACACACAGGTCTTTCTGGGTCTGGCATGTGCAGCTGAGTGGCCCACTTAAAGCCCCCTGACACGAGTCCACGGGTAGGCTGCCCACCCTTCAGTCCGGTTCTGCTGCCAAGGAGCCGAGGCTGTTCTAGTCTTCTAAAGTTGATTACACAGTGAGACCCAGTTTCAAAAAACACAAAACAACAACAAATCAAGGGTAGTGACCATGGGCCGCACTGCCGAAGAGCACAGGCCCAGAGCTCAATCTGCCACGTTCCAACCCTGCCGCTCGGAGGTACCCGGCTGCTAACACTTGAAACCCTGCTTTCAGTGGGATTCTGCAGCTTAGGCTCCTCCGGAAGAAATCGGATGCATGCCCCAGCGCAGGACTGACTACCTGGGGGGGCCTCACACATGATTTCTCTCCCCGTGCCCTGGTTTCTCCCTGTGTAAGAAGGGGATGGGGGGACTGATCCAAAGGTCGGCATGAGGGCTGACTGGGCCACACTGTCAGACCTTGCCACCCGCAGACCCCGACAGTCCAGGTAGACGGGGAAGGGGTTAACAGCAGGCGGGCACCCAGGGGAGCAGTGCCTGGGCCTTAGGGAGAGCTGGCACCTGCACCTGGAGGAAACAGCTAGGGACAAACAGGCCCCCAGCTGGCAGCAGGTGGCTGGCGGAAGGTTGGGTTTCCTCCCCTCTGGTTCTGCGCTCAACGTGGAGCCTCACAGGAGCTGCTCGGGGGCAGGGCACCAGGGTGTGGTGGGTGACCGATTGGGTCCATCTGAGTGAAGAAAGCTCCACTACATCAGCTCAGGGATCCCACCCCTGCGGTGGCCAGCGCGGCAGAAAGGGCAAATGAGGGACGACAGCCGCTCCATTCTTCCGAGGAGCTCCCGGGCTCGATGTCAGCTTGGACGCGGTCTCCTGGCTTCCTTGTAGTCTCGGCTTGCAGGGCAGACCTATCGGCCTCTGCCTGGGGCTCACACGGGACACTGCAGCAGCTCCAGCCCTCAGCCTGGACCCTTCGGGCTCTGGTACGCAGACACCCTCTGCACGCTTCCTCACAGGACTCTACACAGCCCCGGTGAGGTGATCTCGTGGTTCCTTACACACTTGCATATCCTGTTCTATCTGCTTCTCTAGCGAACCCTGACTGATGTGCAGGGTCTCACTCAGCCTCCAAACTGCCCAGGCTAAAATAAATAAATAAATAAACAAACAAACAAACAAACAAACTGCCCGGGCTATCCTAGCGCTTTCCATCCTCCTGCCTTAGCCTCTCTCAGTGCCAGGATGACAGGCACACATAGTTTGTGTTTTGCTTTGTTTTTTGATCATCTCTGTCCTTAAAAATAGCAGCATTTAGGTTGTAAATTACCTCCACCCCAAAACTTGATATAAAAATGGGCCAGGGGCTGGGGTGTAGCTCAGCAGTAGAGCACTTGGCTGGCTGCACAAACCCCTGGGTTCAATCCCTGGTACTGAAAAAAAAAAATTAAATGAACAAAAGATGGGCCAAGCCAGGCTCAGAGACACGGGCCTGCAACCCCAGCACTCATGAGGCTGAGGCAGGAGGATCACCACTAGCTCGAGGATGACCTGGACTGTGTAGTGAGTGCAAGGCCAGCCAAGGCCTCAAATCAAACCAAGGCAGGTGGGGAGGCAGGCCCGAGCCCTGGATCCAGACCCCCGGGGAAGACCTCCGAGGCTCGCCACAGAATTTTGTCCACAAACAGCATCCCTAGCCAAGGGAGACATGACCAGCCCAGAGAGCCTGGGGCCAGGTAGTCACAGTGGCCCCTTACCACCTTGACAGCCATGGGAGACAACTGCAAAGCAGGCAACCACGTGCAGAGCTAAGCTGCTGCCCCCGAGTGACCACCTCACCAGGCCGGTCCACCCCACTCGGCTTTCAAATATATTCAACCTAAAACCTGAGCCAGAGGCGCCCCGCTGGGTTTCAGGGAGATCTGTGGTCAGCAAAATTTAACTACCACAGTGCCAACCCCACATAGTGACAGTGAGCTAGGACAGGGACAGCATCCCCCCACTGTCATCCCCCAAGTGCAGAGGCAGACAGACAGGGAGCCCTGGCTGGGGACAGGCGCAGCTGCCCACCTCTAGCTGTCCAGCGGTCACTGCTACTTTGTCTGATGAGCAGAGTCCACCATCAGGGGATGGCCAGCAGGTGGGAAGAGATCAACAGTGCCAAGAGCCAGAAGGCCCCAGCGGGGAAGGCGTGGCCAGCGTCCTTTCCTCTCCTGCCCCTGCCTGGCCCTGGAGCAGCTGGCTTTGCTCCCTTCCTCTTCTCCACCCTGTGAATACCAAATACCGCAGGCACAGGGCTGGGTCTCGGCAGCCTTGCAAGCAGCACTCCCTGTCACACCACGCACAGTGAGGCCACCCTGCAGCACTGAGCCACGCAGGTTGGGGATGGCCACCACGGCTTCCATGTGTTGATAAACTATCTGGTGCCAGTTTCCAGATCAGCAAAGCCCTCCGAAGTTTGAGCAACAACAATGCTGTGCTCTAACTAGAGACCTGCAGCCTATCCCTGGGAACAAGAGACCAGCTGAGCCCACCTGGCTGCCAAGGGGTCCCCAGCAGTCTGCTGGAAGCAGGTGCAGAGACCCAGGACCCCCAACTCTGGCAGTAGAAAGGAACTGTGTTTTTTTCTTTTTAATTTTTATTTATTTATTTGGATATAGGATCTCACTACGCAGCTCAGACTCGTAGTGATCCTATCTCAGCCTCCCCAATGCTGGGACTACAGGTGCGCACCACCACGCCTGGTTTCAGGGCCAGCATGGGGCACCTGGGGTTTCAGTGGCCTAATGGCATGCAGCGCTGGGAATCGAACCTGGATCCTCACCAGGCAGGCGCTTAGACCTCTAAGCTATCTCCTCCTGCACAAATCAATGCCTCAAGCCTCCTGCACCTCAGGACAGAACTGTCCCCCATGCTGGGCCTGCAAGTCAGACTCAGAGTGGAACCCCCCTCTCCCAGTCTCTCAGCATCCTCCAGGCCCAAAGTCCAAAGGACACCCAAAGGACAGAGGAGAATATATTCAAAGCCGAGTGTCCACTGAGTGAAGCCTTAACCCAAAGCCCAAAAGCTCTGGGCTGGGGAGGTGAAGGGGGAGAAGCGGACAGGACCAAATCTTGGGATGTGTAAGAGGCAGTAAGCAAGCCTGAGCTCCAGCCTCAGGTCAGAGCACAGAAGCACCCGGCTTGAGGGGGAGGCAGCGCTGGCACCCAAGGCACGGGTGTTAGAACTGGAAAGCACTTCCTGCGCAGGGCACCTGCAGGGCAAACCTGTTCTGCAGGCCCTCAGATAGGGAGCACTGCAGGAAGGAGGAGACAGGGTGCCACCAGTGCTGGGTGACACAGCGAGTGGCCCATCTCCCAGCACCCTCACACCCACCAGCTCCCAGAGGAACAAGTGAGGCTCAGGTTCGATGGTTTCGACCCCATTGATCCCGATTGATCGCAGGGCCTGCAGAGGTGGAGCAGTCCAGACCCCTCCTCCTTGCCAGCATAGGTGGCTCAGGGTTTGTAAACTGGCAGGGCACACAAGCACCAGAGATCAGTATTAGCCCTTACCCCGTGGCTGGCAGACAAAAGAGACTGGATAAGAGGATACAGAGAAAGGAAGTCCCCACCACGGCCTCCTGCTCTTCTTGGGGATGCACGACCATCTGCTCCAACCCCATGTACCCAAGTGAGACACACCTGCCTCAGGTGACAGGGCCGGAGGGGAGCGACGCCAAGGCCAGGGGACTGTGCAAGTGGCTGGGCGAGGGGCAGCCTGCGACTGCCAACCAACATGGAACCACCCAAGGAAGGACGAGGAAGACCTGGCTTCCAGATAACCTTGGCACGTTGAGCGGGGCGGTGGAGGGGCCAGGGGCCAGTCGGGGAGCAGAAACAGGAGCGAGGGAGGGAGGACCCGCGCAGTTTCTGTGGGGCTGCCAGGAGCGGCAAAGCCGCCAGCAGAAACGCGGGGGTCTCTGCAGCTGTGGGGGTGACAGGAGGAGAAGGGAGCTGAGAGGAGGTGAGGTTCCCAGGGACACCAGGGAGGGATGGCCACACCACAAGAGCGGCGCCCTGGAAGGGCCCCCGCCCACCCCACCCCCCGCGAGGCGACACTGTTGGGGGAGGGGCGGGCAGGGGGCGCCCCTCGGAGGTGACTGAGCAGGATCTAAGGAAGGGAAGGGGCTCCATCAGGAGTCCGAAGGTGGCTCCTACCTGCCCACCCTCCTGGGGCCCCGGAAACCGGATGGACGGCAACGAGAAGACGACAGCGGCGTCAGGGAGAGGAGGACCCCGCCTCCGGGAGCCCGGGCCCCGCACTCACCCAGCGCCAGGCCGCAGGAGGCGCCCACGGCCGCGCGGAAGCGGTCCATCTGCGTGTCGCGCTTGCTGTCAGGCTCCCACATCACCTGGCACTCCAGGATCTCCTCGCGCCCGGGCGGCGCTCGCTCCGACATGGCTGTAGCGAGGGCCGGGGACCCAGATCAGGACGAGCCTGGGGACCGGGGACAGGGGACCGGAGACCTGAGACCCGACACGACGGGCGGGCGGACAGGACCGGCGCGGACGCGGGGAGCGCGAGACCCAGCCGACCGACTCCCCGCTGGCCACGCCCCCTCGAGGCCACGCCCGAAACCACACCCCTAGTGGCCACGCCCCTGCTGTAACCCTCCGCCAGCCTCTCCCGGAAAAAAAGAGTGCCCTTCGCGTGCGCCTGCGCCTGCGCCTGCGCCTGCGCCTGCGCACTAGGGTGAGGCACGGCTGGCTCCCACGCGTGAGCATCTTTTTGCCGTGGATTGCCAGTACCGGTGGTGGAGCAGATGAGCCTAGCCTGCGAGCCAGGTGTGGAGATGAGGTGCGCCCACTGACTCGCACATGGTGTGTGTGTTCATGCAACAGTGACAGCGTGGGGACACGGGTGGCAGTAAGTGTAGATTTCTAAAGAGATGCGTGTTGTGGTAAGAAAACCTGGCCTCAGGGAACCCTGAGACTCGAATCTGCTTCCCAGCGCAGAACTTAGCCTATCTCAATGTCCCCTGGAAATTCACTCTGCCTTGCGCAAGGTGCAGCCACTTAGCGAGACCCTGTCGTCCTATGTCAAAATCAAAAACTTGAAGTCTGGAAGCCGGGTGCTTTGGCACACGCCTGTTTAAAAAAAAAAAAAAAAGGACAGAAAAAAATCAAGTCAAGATACAAAGATGACAAAGCACTGTGTACACGTCAGCCGAGGTGGCTGCTACTTCCGAGTTTCTGAGCAAAGCCCCAAACCCAACTTCTAATGTGAAATCTCCTAATTTTTAAGCATTTCCATCAAGAAGACATTAACAATTTCAACAGCATGAGCCAGACTGCGCACCAGCGGCAGCATGCACTAGACGCAGAAGCCATTTGGCTTTAAGATCGCCGCCACCACGTGGCACCAGACCCGGCACAGGGAGCTTCCCCTCTGCCCTCGGTGCTGTGGAGCAGGGCAGAGACAGGACGGGGTCTGGCATGGAGATCTGGCTGTCCCTAGCTCCGATTGGTGACTTCATGTCTTCAGACCAGGTGGCCTGGGACATGACAGGTCTGCAGGTAGGTACAGGGCCCCAGGGCAAGTGGAATGACCTCAGGTGACTGCTTCTGGTAGCTCTTGCCAGCAAACTCCGCCACTCCACTTCCAGTGGCTTAAGGCCTCCTGACTATCACTCCTTAGCTACATGCCCAGAGGATTTCCTGGGGTCTCATTGGTCAGTACCTAATCATGTGCCCACCTCTGAGCCAATTACTGGGCCGGAATAAAGAGGTACATCCTGATTGGTTTAAAGCAATAGCTCTCTACCCAGGCAGGCATCCTTAAGAATGTGCAAAGAGATCCCTAGGAGGAAGAACTGGGCATTGGTCATACCGCCCTTCATTTAGAGCCCATCCAGCTCCTGTGGTAGATCGTTAAAGCAGTCCAGGTGGCGTCAATAACGTCAGCTGCCCTTTCCTGACTGCAGAGCTGATGGTGGCAACGCATACCTCCCTGTATCTACATGTCTCCTCCAGCTGTCAAGCAGCAGTATCAAAGCCTTCTTGTGTGCACCAGCAGCTGATCTTGCTTGTACCAGTTAAGGCCAGAAATACAGTAAATGCTTCAGTTTAAAAAAAATCAACAGCCAGGCATGGTGGCACACACCTGTAATCCTAGCACTCAGGAGCCCAAGGCAGGAGAATCACCAAGGCCAACCTGGGCTACACAGTGACATGAAGGCTGGCTTGAACTATGGAGTGAGATCCTGTCTGAGAAAGAGAAAACAAAGCAAAAGTTATGGTAAAAGGCACACACCTAGGAATCCCCTCAACACCCCTCCACCTTAGCCACCCTCATCCCATCACCCCTGACACTTTCTGCTGCAGCTCTGGAGCCCTCTTTCTTGAGTGTCTTTAGTTGCACCCACCTGGCTGCCTTGCTGTCCTGAGTGGACTTCATGGTCAGCCTGAGAAGAAGAGATGAGGAGAAGCTGGAAGCCCGAGATGGGCGGATGAGGACACGAAGGTTTCACAAGCTGCCTTCCGGCTGGATGGCTCACGGCCACACCATTCACTGTACTTATCACACTAGGTGATCAGAATGCGTGCTGGAATAAACCCAGGGCCTTCACCTGAGCTGCGTCCTCACCCATTGTTATTTTTTTGAGACAGTGTCTGTGAATTGCCTAGACTGGGTTCAAGGGCCAAGAGATGGCTC